CCAGGAAATCAATTTTTGTCGAATTCGGTCCAAAACGGTACAGGTGGCGCCATCTAGCGGCGAGCGGCGGAACTACGAAAAACTAAAATTTCTATTTTCTCCGAAATTAGGCAATTTTATGTATTTCTGAGGGTCAGAAATTGTTCTGTGACCTCCCTAGAACCCATATAATGCCACAAGAACCTCCTCAGAGCGCTAGAAAAGAAAATAAAAAAATAGGTCAAAACATGGACCAAAAAATTGGCGTCCATCTAGCGGTGAAAGTTGGAACTACAAAAATATAAAAATGCGATTTTCTCGAAAATTAGCGAACTTTGAGTACTTCGGAGGATCAGAAAGTGTTATGTGATCGCTTTAAAAGCAAAATAATGCAATAAAAGCTTCCTAAAGGCTTTAATAAAAAAAATAAAAAAAATGTCATTTTATGGGGAAAATTTGTGGCGCCATCTAGCGGCGAAACCGCGAAGTCTAGCGGCGAAACTGTGAACTAAACTGAAAAAACGTATGCCTGTACACGCGTTAAGAAAAATATAAAAAGTAATAGTTCACAACTTTGACGACGTAGTATACTTCTTTACACATTTTAAAGCAATGTTTGTTCAATAAGTTATTCATTTTTTTACCTATTAAGCGCAGAAAATCAATTTTTATTTGACCCCTTTACAGCGTGTTCAGACATACGGTTTTTCAGTTTAGTTCGCAGTTCCGCCGCTAGATGGCGCCACAAATTTTCCCCATAAAATGACATTTTTTTTATTTTTTTTATTAAAGCCTTTAGGAAGCTTTTATTGCATTATTTTGCTTCTAAAGCGATCACATAACACTTTCTGATCCTCCGAAGTACTCAAAGTTCGCTAATTTTCGAGAAAATCGCATTTTTATATTTTTGTAGTTCCAACTTTCACCGCTAGATGGACGCCAATTTTTTGGTCCATGTTTTGACCTATTTTTTTATTTTCTTTTCTAGCGCTCTGAGGAGGTTCTTGTGGCAATATATAGGTTCTAGATTGGTCACAGAACAATTTCTGACCCTCAGAAATACGTAAAATTGCCTAA